AGCACTGGACGGCCGTTTTATCCTATTGTGGGACTTTTAGTAGTGCGGATCCACGACCCCTTCTCGCGGGATCCGAATCCAGGATTTATCAGTCTCGCGCTCGAACGCCTAACCACTAGACGACTGATCTGGCCGGCATCCAACGGTGTTAGTGTCTCACTTCAACTAATCCACGAAATTGAGTTACACATCCACCATTGCCTTTAGTAAGTTACTATATCACAACAGACTTGGTTGAACTCCATTGGTCACTGCTTCTCACTAGAGCTCCAGAATCGTCTGTAACGGATGTTTAGTTGAGTTATGTATCATTGATAGAAAGATTATTAATAATGAGTATTTCAGAGATAATGCTTATCTATAACCCGTTTTACAATTGATTGATCACTAAGTGGTGATGTATGCAGATCGAATACTATCGACCAAGTTGTAATGTGGCCACCAGTCTTAATGACTCGAAATTGCCTGCACTATGTTGAGTTAAGATGGTGGTTGAAAGTAGTTAACAGGAAACCCTTGACCTAGGTTTCGTGCTACTTGGCACTCGTCAGCAAGGTGTACCTGTACTGTTGAAGGAACTGATACTCCTTGACGGATTTTTTTCGTGTCTCCCAGCTTCACAGCCAGAGCCGTCACCACTCAGTTATCCGAATCGCGACTAACGTCCTGTAGGACTGAGATGTATTTACAATTGCTTGATCAATGTCATGTAGGAATTATTGTTATTAACCAGACTTACAAGAAAATGTATGGCTTTTTGATGTATTCAAAATATATTAAAATTGTAATATATAACTCAGTATACGTTTTTTTTTTCGTTTTACATATGTATTGTCTTTAAAAATCTAATCAAAACATCTAAATAATCAAAAGAAAAATACTTTGACTATAAAAAGACAAGTATTTACGTAAATCTCCATTGAAATATACTTGTTTTATCCTGAAGCAATCTGACAAAATCTTAAGCGAAATAAAACATGTCAGAGAGGAGGATGAATTGAAATACTACCATCGTTAGTGGAATGAACTGCTAGATATTCAACCAACTTGGATCATCATTACAAAGCCATAATAACCTATTCAAGATAAAATTTAAAACAAATTATATCGAACGTACATATTGTGAATATAAGATAGTGGAAAAAATTTACAGCTGAGAATGAAGGTGTTGATGTTGCGTTACATGAACTATCTGGCTTGATCGTGAAATATTTATTGTTCGTCTGGACGACTATATCAGCACAGACATCAAAAGAAGTCATTTTGAAGTAAATGTTATCGATATTGTCCAAAACAGTAATACGAACTTCACGGCTAAACCCTCCAGCTCGTAGGACACAGCACCTTCAACATTAAAAATATAAATTTTTCCCATCCATTAACATATCTCACTCAGAATGATCCTTGATCTAACTAATATGACGTAGCTATGATTGAATTAGTTAGTATAAACTGAAGATGTTATCTGATATATTTATTGCCTAATTTAACGAATAGTGAAGTTTTCGCATGTTTACCGACTTTAGTGGTTATTACTGTCATTTTGTACTTCTGTAAACACGTCGAAACTATAATCGTTTAATTTTTACTGACATCACTAAAATTTATTTGACAATAAGTTAAATTTTAAGATACAGAGTGACCGTCTTTTAACATTATTGGTGGATGACTATGTTACATGCAACATGATTGAAATCAAATGGTCATAGGTCTTTACTAAAACTCTGGGAACTGCTTTTCTAAATTAGTCATTAGTGAGCTAATGATTATCACGACTTTAGGACGTTCATGAAGACTGAAGAACCGTGTAATTTCGATTTTGGATTGATGTTCATTAGATATATACCGAAAACTATACTACAATAAAATATCTATTCAGGGCTACTTGGATTGCAATGGTTGTGGTGTAAAAGATAAAAATCCCCCCACATTGCTATATAATGAAATGTATAAATTCAATATATTACAGGTTATCTAACAAAACTAATCTACGTACCCCTTGTTGACCAACTAAAGACAGATTTTCAACTGCATATCATACGACATTTGTTATTTTTCAAATCGATTTTTACATGTAAACACTGAATAGAGTTGGAATTATTGTGAAGGAATCATAAAGTAAATTTAGAACAACATATATAAGCGAACAATATTGTTTTCGATTTGATCCTCATCAGGTTTTACTCTAATATACAGTAATATTTATATGCATATACGAAGTCTATGGTGATTCCCCAACTGAAGGACAAGTTACCTGGTTACGCCACTTCTATGTGTATCTACGAATTCAGCTGCTCATGCGGGGAAAGCTATATTGGGCGCACAACCAGGCAACTGAACCAAAGAGTTAGTGAACACCTCCCATCGTGGTTAGGAAAAGGTTACGTAAAGACAATACGCAGCTCAGTTCTTTCACACTTAATCGATAGTGGTCATGTAGTGGACAGAAATAAGTCATTTAAAGTTATTTATCGTATTCCAACTAATTTTCCCTATGGTGTTCGATCTCGTCTCTTACACATAGAAGAAGCTATAGGAATTCGAGCCAACAAGCCGAGTCTTTGTGTTCAGAAGAAATTTGTAACACCCTTATCTCTCCCTTGGCCTTAATAAATGAATTTATTTATTATTTTCTTTTCAAACCTTCTCTTTGTTTATTAATTTTTCTTCACCCCCTCCTACTATTTTATTTTTATTTTTTCACGGTTCAATTATCTGAACACTTCTCATTACGTCATCTTATAATAATTTTTATAAATGTTATCTCACTATCTATATTTTTCTAATCATTGACCTATTTCCGATTATGTAACATTAATTTGAGCCTTTATTATTCTTATAAAAAAAAACTAGTACACCTGTCATCACACTATCTATTTGTACTTTTCACATATTATGTAATCGTTTTATTCATCGTTATCATTGATTTATAAACTACCTCGATTGGTTTAATAATTTCGTATATGCATATAAATATTACTGTATATTAGAGTAAAGCCTGATGAGGATCTAATCGAAAACAATATTGTTCGCTTATATATGTTGTTCTAAATTTACATTATGGGAATATTTCAAATTTTGGAATCATAAAGTGTATTAATGTTTAGCTATATATAGGATAATTATCAAAGTATTCTGGAAAAGAAAACACAGTAAAGCATGGAAACATAATAAGCTTGAAATCAAAGATTTGTGCCATGGATTGTGTAATACATAAAAATTATAAAATAAGTGAGTAAAGATCAGAAGTAACAATTAAGAAATCAGAAAATCTGATTATAGTTACACGTACGTTAAAATACTTAATAAATTGTGATTCAGTGATAAATTCTAACAAGGTGAGCGGAACAGAACAGGGGGGTAATAAAATGAATTCATCGTATTTCGAAGCACCTTAAGGTTGCGATAAGTAAAAGTAACGTTTTACATATTTAAGATAATGACGTTAAGTTAAAAACGATAATAAAACAGGAAGACGGAACAACGTTTCAAAGCTAATGGTTAAGATTATTTAGTATTTATATGTTGTGAATGGCCTGATATCGAAGAGGAATCGATGTCGAAAATAACAGTTATAAGATAAGAGGAAGATATTCTCAGAATAAAGATTTGTGGAGGATGTAGCAATTTTAACAGTTGAATTCGCAATTCAATCTAAGCCAGATCAACATTGAAAACCTAGAAGCACTGGATGATTGGTTTGCCCTAGCATGGGACTCCTTATCAGTGCGCAATCATGATCCTTCACGCAGAACTCGGGCCCAAAGCACTCAATCTTGCGCGCGAACGCTTAACCTATAAACCCGTGAGCTGGCATCCAACGATCTTAATGTCTAACTTCAACCGATTCATTTTGATACCAATTTGATCCAGTCTAAGAATCTGGTTATTTTTAAAAGAATGTTTCCTATGTAATGTCAATTACTAACAAAACATATTTTTCATGATATGAATAGCAGCACAAAACCATTTCGGTTACTTATCGGTGATTAGATGTGAAATCGAAACAAAGAACAAATTGAAACTGTAAGTATATTATGATCAATATTCATTTATCTATGCTGAGTACATAGATCCGAAGTATTACATTAGAATTTTAAAATGAATAATATTTTTATATCCTACAAATGGTCGTCGTAAGATCGAACTATTTTTTACACTGTATATTTTCTCTTAAAAACAATAGAACGAAACACCCGTCCAGTGCTTCCAGGTTTTCCATGGTGGTCTAGCTTCAATTGACTCATGATATCAACTATTGAAATTTCTAAAAATCTCCACAAAACCCCTTCTGACACAAATTCGATATATCTTTCGAAATCTCATTTAAATTATTACAAGTCTAAATCACATCATAAATCCCTTCTTTAATAATAATAATAAACATCAGACAAAATAAAACATGTTTTAGCAATAAATTCTCCATCTCATTTTGATTAACCAATCAAATTAAAGAAACATTATTTAAATGAACCAATCAAAAAAAAATTATTCAAATAGTTGAAATATTTTTGTTTCCGAAAAAAACAATGACGTTTAAATCTCTATATCTATATCATAAACTAATTTGTATGTTTATATTAGTAATTGAGATAACAGTAATAATAATCTAGAAAAATGTATATAAAGAATAATAATTGTACACCACAATACAAACTACGCAATTCGTAATAAATATATATAAAAGAAATTAAAGGAATATTTAATTAAATATAGTTCCCCAATATGCAATAAGAAAGTTAGTTAGTTTTGTTGTTTTTGTTCTATAATGTAATCAGATCAATTACTTGAATGATGATGACGATGATGATGATGATGAAACCTTATTCAATGTATACATACTTGTTACCATATACAGTAAACAATATACATATCTATATCCAATATAGATTATAAAAGATATCTATCATTCATCATATTTCATTATTGCGTAGATGTGTAAATATTTTCAAGTAACTATTATAATTTCATTATATTATTTCATTTATTTTACAGAACGAATGATACAGCCATTTATATTTGCTAATTTAATAATCAATAATATTAGTGATAATAATAAATTACAAAAAATCAATAATCACTCTATAATTATTAATTATAATAGAACAAATAGAATATTTAATAATGATAACAATAAATCTATACAGAATTTATTACATTCAACAGATTTATCTTGGGATGATTCTAGCCAAAAACAATATTATTTCGATAAAATTTTAGATGAAGGTAAGCTTATTGTAAATAATAATTATGTAAGTAGTTGATAAGAAAAAAACCCATTTTGATAGTTGATTACGTAATTATCATGCCTAGTTATATTGAAGAAAACGCCTAATAAATATTCACCCGGTTTTATTTACTTGTATCTTCTTATTTTTATTTAAGACTGCGATTATTCGAGCTCTCTTGTTGGCATATTTCAATCCTGTGCGGATTTCCTCGATATTGTCTTAATTTACAAGTTTTATAGGTATAGATAGGGGCTAGTAGTAAAATCTAGGATGGGCGTCTCGTTCTACTTAGAATGCGAAGGCGTTTGAAGTGAACGATACTGTATTCGAGTTCCAGATTGAACATCAACTTTGAGATGTAGGTACATTCAGATGACGAGTCCCAAAATAGGACGAAGTGCGCATCCCTGGACTCCAATGCTAGCCACTATCCATCATTGTCTAGTAAATATGTTTTAACAATTTTCATACACATTTCTTACAAAGTAATAACGTTAAACACTTGTGACTGTACAGATAGTAAATGTCTTGAATTCAGTATTAAGATTTTTTAAAGAAAAAACATAACATATCAGTATTAGCATCAGTTTAACAACCTAGTACACTACAAATTATAGTCTTTTGATAATTTAATTAGTTATTTTATTTAATAGCATATGATATCTAGAATTTAAGACATGTTAAAATGCCATAAAACAGACTTAGAACATGAACGTGCACTAAACACATGAATAAACGTACTGAGTACATGTTACTTCATACAAATACATTTTACATTATCCAAAATTACTACTTATTTTGGTAGTATTTTTATAAGTATACTTATCAAATGTATGGAATTATGTTACTCGTTAATTTATGACAAAAACTAATCTCCCAATTTAAAATATCCACCCTTAATAGTATTGTGGTGTGCGCTACTTATATTGGTATAAGTAGTGTATGACGCAAGTTAAAAACGTAATGTCTCGCAGCAGAGGATGGGGGAAGATCAAGAAAGGAAGAGCGGAAACACAATGAAATTTGTATGAAAACGCATGAAAAATGAAATGTCAGACAATCGATTGATGTTTGCAACAGGAACAGTCCAGTTTGATATGATGGATTGATATTTTGCAGATTAACGATTTACTATATGGTTGTTAGATTTTACTAACAAGTTCTATAATTTTTTATCAAATACATGCGATTGTCCCCACCCGTGTTCTGTACACTACAGTATATCCTATTTTAATATAGCTTTGATTATGTAACTCCACTAAGTTTAAGAAGACAAATTCAACTCACCTATTATAAGTCAAGCCGGATAGTGTTCTGAGATGTGCTTGGAAAGTGATCGTTTTATGCAGCCTATGTAACGTGCCCCACATTCCATATTCATAAAAGCATCGACAGTACAGAAAAAAACGTTTTTTCATGAATATGAAGTTTAAAGGAGACACAGATGCTGAAATCTTAAATAAACGGATTTCAAAATCGTTGAATAAAACCTTCTACTCAGCTAAGCTCCTAATCGTTTTCTCAAGCCAGCCTACGATTCTTGGATGTGTTAAGGATAAACATTCGCTTTGAGCTATATCAACGTGTATCTATAAATTTACTTGCTCATGTGGGGCACGTTACATAGGCTACACAAAGCGATCACTTTCCAAACTCATCTCAGAATAAATTCAGTTATTTATTAAGTTTGCAATATGCTTTAGTGTTTAATATACATTTCTTATATTATTTTGAACATATGCGTAAAAGTTACCTAAAATGACTTTTATTAATTTGTAATTTTGCTTAGATTGATGTCATGGATGGATCAATGTTAGATCACTGTTAAAAACTGGGAAGCACTGGATGGTTGCTTTGTTCTAGTATAGGACTACTCAGCAGTGTGCATCCACGATCCCCCACGTGGGATTCGAACCCAGAATTTTGGTTCTCGCTCGAGAACGTCTAAACTATAGACCACTAAACCTGCATTTCACGGTGTTAATGTCTGACTATAACCAATCCACGAAATTGTGCAACCATCTTCCGTTGACTTATGTAGATACTTGTCTCTACCTGACACGGATTAGCTCCACTGGTCTCGGCCGTCCAGTGTTTGCATGTTTTCAATGGTGGTCTAACACTGATCGATTCATGATCTCAGTCAAAATTGTTTAGGTCTGAGTGATCAGTTGAAATAAAATGACGATCCTTAATGGAATATACTAACGATTATAATCGCTGCTACAATAGTTGCCATCGTAAATAAAAGTCTAGATTTGTGTTCTCGATTCTGGACGTTGTCATATATATATATATATATATATATATATATATATATATATGAGCTCTTGGAATGTTATTTCGGTAACATCTATATACAATTCAGTCTATGAACCGAGAAGATATGTCTTAAGTAGTATAGAAATGTGCAATTACTTATCTGATTGTTAATTTAAAAAAATAAATTTAGGGAAACAACGTTTGCTAATATTCGATAATTGGTTAAACCATCATAACATTTTAGTTGATGTAAATTTCGTAGATTCATATAAATTAAAGTTATCAGGCGGAATAGAAAATCTCTACCTTGTTTTCTATTACCTTAATATTACTTAAAGTACTGTGTTTATCATCATGTTGTTGAAACGAAAACCTTCAACATTATTCATTATACTGCTTCATTTACTGGACCTACTGAAGAGTTAGAACTAAGAGGCTTTGGATAATTGTTTCTTTATAATATGGAATTCTATCAACAATGTATTCATGACCTCATCAGTGTTCGAACCCACGATTACCAAATCATATAAAGAGAAGATACATTCAGATCACTATTTTGATTCTCAATGATTTAGATTTCTAACTTTAGTAGATTCACAACATTACGTAATCAAACCCACATTAGTGATATTTATCTCATCTTTGATATAGTTGAATTTTATCATATATAACTACAATCTGTTCAAATCATTATACTAAATTATGATTCATCCTAAATATACTATACAAACTCTTTGAAGTATACATCTGAAATTATATTTTCTATTACTTATTTATATATCACATCCAAATGAATGATATCAGTAGAAATTAGATATAAAAATTCAATAGAATATTACTATGGAAACAGTTGAAATATTGATAAAATATTGATTACTGGTTTCATGTAGAGTTTGGTGTCTTAAATGTTTTACACTTTAGTAGTTAAAAATTCATACGGTTCTTTAAAATATATATATATATATATATATATATATATATCGGTTCGAAAATGATACATGATGTATTTTAAATGTTATATCTGTTCAAACTTCAAATTTAAAAAGCAAATACCGCAAATTAGTTACTTTATATTAAAAGATCTTTATTATCATATAAAATCATGTCAATATTTCAGTAAACAATTTACAGTAATATAATGCATCCAATAAAAAAATGCATGATAAAATGTTTCAAATAAACATTCAATAGTTTAGTTAATGATTTTCAATATTAACTCAAGTTAACTAACTACATATATTGGTTATTTTTTACTTACTTGCTTACTCTTGTTACTCTCAATCGAGCATTGGCCCATGACCAGCAGTATTCAAATCATTCTCTCCGGGAACTCCCTTTCTGGTTCTATACAATTGTTATTCATTCTTCTCATATCTGTCTCCATTTCTCGATGTAATGTGTTCGTTGGTATTCTTTTTCACCTTCTGGCTTTGAGGATTACAAGTGAGAGATTGTCTTGTGACACAGTTGAATGCTTTCCTCAATATGTGTCCTATGCACTTCCAGCACCTCTTTCTGACTTCTTCCTCCACTGGGATCTGGTTTGTTTTCTCTCTCTCATAGTAGGTTGTTGCTGATAGTGTCTGATCAACGTATCCGAAGTATTTTGTGTGGACCACTGTTAATCAGCACCTATATCTTCTAAATGATTGCTTTGGTAGTTGTTCAGGTTTCCGCCCCATACAGTAGAACTGTCTTGACATTTGTAATGAAAATTTTGATCTTGTGTTTTTTGACAGTTGCTTTGAGTCTCAAATGTTCTTCAATTGTAAATATGCTGCTCTTGTTTGCCGATCCGTGCCTTCACATCTGCACCAGATGCGCCGTGTTCATTAATGATGCTACCCAGATATGTAAAGGTTTTTACACCCTCCAAAACTTCTCCGTCAAGTGTGTTTCAATGAGTGCATGCAGCGCTAAATCGGAGAATATTGCTTTTCCCTTTGTGTATGTTGGGACCTACTGCTGCTGAAGTTGCTGCTACATTGATAATCTTACATACTGAGACTTAGCTTTAACAAACAAATACCTCAAAGACATTTGTTCAAGGCATTAAAGGAGTATGTGAAAAAATGTTTTTTAAGTGAGGTTTACTTGACAAAAAGTGAAGACAAACTGTTCTAGTTATATACTATAACTACATAATCTAAATTCATTTTCTCTACTGTTTACCTTCGTTTTATAGGCTTCTATATAATGTACTTAATAGATTCTGCACTGAGTCATTTTTATTGACTCAAACTCATAACAAATTTCAATAGTTGAGATCATGAGTCAATTAAAGACAGACCACCATGGAAAACCTGGAAGCACTGAACGACCGTTTTGTCCTATTGTGGGGCTCCTCACCGGTGCGCAGCCACGATCTCGCTTGCGGGATTCGAACCCAAGACTTATCAGTCTCGCGCGCGAGCAGCGGGATACAACCAGGTCAGTTGTGAGATAGTAACTCACTGAAGACAATGGTGGATGTGTCACTCAATTTCGTGGATTATTCGAAGTTAGACATTAACACCGTTGGATGCCGGCCAGGTCAGTCATCTAGTTGTTAAGCGTTCGAGTGCGATATTGGTAGGTCCTGGGTTCTAATCCATCAAGCGGGATCGTGAGTACGCACCACTGATGAATCCCGCAGTCGGACGAAACGGTCGTCCAACGGTTTCAGGTTTTCCACGGTGGTCTAACTTTAATTGACTAATGACCTCAACTATTAAAATCACCACGATACCCACA